CAATTTTAGCTCTAACTGTTGTTGTAGAGTCCGTTCGTGTGCCTATTACTTATTATGTTCCAAGTATAGTAATTTTCTCTATTGATATATATACTATGTAGTTCGACTCTTCTTCATCGTTATTTTCGGCCAGCTTATTATTTAGTTTATGAAAATTGGCGCTTATAATGCACCGAAAGCATCGACACGCCGACAGCAGTGACGCGCTGACAGCACGGATACCGTGGCAAATTCGATACGCACAAAATTGGGCGGAATTAATGATAGATTCGGCAAATTGGCAGGACTGATTGACCGGTGAGCTCGCACGGTTTTGCATTAGTGATATTTGCGTTGCATATCGGCGTACCGATAGAAGAACACGTTAACGGAAGAAATCGATAACTCGCACCGCTTTGCCGAACGTTTGTTAGTTTTTGAGAGAACGGCCCTTAACGTTGGCCGTGGCAATAAGAGCCTCACCGGTGTTTATTTCGTCAAACACTTCCGACATACATACGTTCGTCCGATTCGAACGGCTCTCGATCACGCCATAAAAGTCAAGTGCTCGCTGCTAATTCGTTTCGCGATGAAACAAGCCCCCATGTGATGCGATGTAAGCCAAAAACAATAAGAGAAACTTTTTCATAACAGATTTCATTGCAATGAAAGTTATTAATATACTAGAAAGGTGTCATTTCAGTTCGGTGACAACTCGTCTTTTTTAGAGACTTTATGCGAAAGTGCTTCTATGATGTTATTGTTATAACATATCATGTTATTATTTTTTCAACATTGCACCGGCCAATGAGGAAAATTTGCGAAACCAAATATGACTGTGATTAAAATATTCTTTCTATCAAATCTTTTCTAAGAACTATCCACCAACTTCTACACAAAGTTTCATTCGTTTGAACCAATTTTCAAAAGTTTCCATCCTATCTCGGACACGTCTTATGCGGCCTGCTGAAACGGTGCTGTAGTGCCTTCCGGGCTGAAAGAATAGCATTAGTTTGAGCCGATTTTCTATTTTCTAGAAGAGAGAGGTAAAATAGTAGGTAGTAGAATCACTCAATAGGTAAACAGGTCGGTGTCAAATCATGATCATTGAGGCGGTAACTAAAAATATTAACCAGTGTAACTGTCTGTAAAAGTTGAATTAAAAAAAATAACACGTGTCATAGCGAATAGGCCGAGGTACTTGTTAAGTTGCTTTTTGTTCATAACATTTTTGCATCCATATTATCAAGTGCTCAGTGGTGAAGGAGAACATCGCGAGGAAACCAGCATAATTTCGAAATAATAGCAAAAAAATATATGAGACATGTGTAGTCCGTCAACCCGCAGTAGGGCCGTCGGAATATGCTCTCATGTACCCTCTAATTAGGCCTTTGTGTGAGGGCATGCATAGGCTGTTACTTTACTTTACTTGTTATTTTCACCCATTTCCGGGGTTCCGTAGCCAAAGGGTAAAACGGGGTCTTATTACTAAGACTCCGCTGTCTGTCTATCTATCTGCCCTCTGTCACCAGGCTGTATTTCATGAACCGTGATAGTTAGACAGTTTAAATTTTCATAGATGATGTATTTCTGTTGCCGCTATAACAACAAATATCGACTTAGCACTTGATCGGTTTTAATACACGTTCATACATACTTTGAGTTCGAAAGGTATTCCCGTCAGAAACTAATGATTGACTCAGTGATGAAAACCCTAAATGTGCGACTACTTATGTGATCGATATTGGCTTCATATAAAATCGTAATCGTTGCTTTACCTCAAAACATCAAAAACGAAATAAACGAATCGTTTCTTTGTCGTATTGTTTTATGGAAAGTTCTTCAACTTAATTGCGTAAACAACCTTAGGTAAGGTAAGCTTGCTTAAGTTTAGACGAAGGATAAAAATAAACCTAAAATTTCGTACCTACGTTCGGCTGCCTTACAACGTGAGCTTTTCGCAAAGTTTCCTGGCGGGCACGTTGTTTTGCGTAATTTAACGTTGCCAGCGGTATTATTCGGAAAAACCTAATTAATACGACTTGGAAACTTTCAAGGGGAAGACCAAATCTTTTCTGAAATTCGGGACACGCATCTTCAACTCCCCTGGTGCTGCAAGCTCACATGCGTGATCACAAGGCCATGGCGTTTCAGCATCAGATGACAAGGGTCATCTATTTCTTTCTAGCACCTCCAAAAGGTAGTCTACCTTTCATCATATTGTCTATGAATTGTTTTGCCTTTTATTCATGTATTATGCCATTGCCTTTGAACGGGCTTTGCGTCCTCCCATAAATGCCATTTATATTCCATCAAAAGATTTTTCCGGATTAAGGCACCATCTGAAACGCTAAAAAACCATTCCGCGATAATTTGCCCGATGCAAACCGATTTTGAATGAAATAAATATTTCAATTCGGCTCACTAAAAGGCACAGAGTGAAGGGGAGATTAGAAGATTTGGTAAACCGTGTGGTTGCTTCAAAATTACCTTATTACCGATATAAATTGGATCTGAGAATCAGTATGATATCAAGATTTTTTTCTTAACGTATTCGCGCACCTTACTCGCGTTACGCACGAGATTGGCCCAAAACTCGATCACCTAATCAACTGCCGCGAGGCGTGATATAAGGCGCACGTTACAGATTCATAAACGCGCGCCGGTAAAATCTCCGCTTGTATGTTCATCTTCACAAAGGAACTTGATCTACCAAGTTGCGCTCTCTCCCTGTCCCATTTCGCTAGCGCCATTTATCCCCGTCAGATTTGCATATAAACCCATTCGTTGGCGACGCGAACAGTCCCGAAACCCGAAATTCGATTAGCAAATGCCTATGTCGCGCAGAATAACATGCAGGCCCCAAACTAATTACCATCTAAGGCGTAACAGTGTTAGTTCCGCCGCGCGACTGAACGCCCGGCGAGTGTCCTTTAAAGGTAACTTGACTGCGCTCCACGCCCCCTGCTTTGAATATAACCAATAAAATTGATTTGAAAATTTGTGCCGCGAGATTGCAGACCAAATGTAGATCTTTATTCTACATGTTCATCAGATGGTCATTCACGCACGGCGGTGTCTGCGCAATATGTAAATCAAGTTGCTATTTGCTAGGTTATAACGACCGTCGTGGGAAACGAACCCACGGCACCCGGTGGCCAGTAACTTAGCAACTGCGCCGCCAAGTCATGGTTCCGTGTAAAAAAAACTCAAAACGAAATATTTCACAGTTAGGATATATTGCAATCTCCCGTGCCGAATTGGTTTGTTTCGCACGTATATTTTATTCATGTACATCTATAATTATGTAAATGTGAACAAACTATAAATGACTTATTCTATGTTTTTAACTGTTTTACCGATTTTTTTTACTTACTATTTTCGACTACGACAGGGAGATTTTTTGAGAAGTGTCCAAATTTACACGGGAGGTTCAGAATTGGTAGTATAATCGTTTATTGAAAAATAAAACGTGTTGACATTGCGGTAGTCATTCATAAATACCTAAATTTTACTGTGCATGAACTTGTGTGCGTGTTAGTTATGAATGATCGCGCGTAAAATAAAAGAGTTGCGTATAAATCACGCACTTTTTCAGATAAGTTCAAATGAATATAATTAATTACTTACGAGTGATTTTAAATATTTATCATGATATATATATATCATTATTTATGTCTAGAATTTAATAAAAAAAATGGATACACTTAGAAAAGCCACCCTGTATATGCATTAAATAAAAGGGGAATTATACCCACTACTATAAATATTTTATGTGTGGAAATCACGAAAAAACGTTCGCATATATTATTCTAATGACTCGTTAAAAAAATGTCCCTTCGATTAAGCCATTTCTATTTTCCGCACGGATAAACAGCCAAATACATAATAAGATGGTAATTTAGATTCCCGTTCATGAGGAAAGAAAACTGCACAAAATCAACCGTTAAGTAGAATTGTAATAGAAGCTTGTATAATTATAACCAAAAACACGTGCCTTCTTACACACGCTTCATTATAAAAGCGAAATGAACCATGCGGATAAAAGTTCGAACCACAGCACTGTGTTCTCGTTTCTACACTATTGCGAGCACACGTTACCCGTTCCATGTTGAAATGAAAATTCAACAGGTACTTTTACCGCGCACGACTTGAGCGCCTTGCAGTGGGAGTGATTAGGATTTTTCACGAACGAACTGCGCCGCTTAAATTGCAACCCAGCAAATGTGCACTCTAGACCGTCAGTAACACGGGCCGCTCTTAGGCAAAGGCTTGTTCCTTTGTGACCGTTCACCGCTCAAATCGATTAGTATCGACGAAGCCGAAAGGGCCGGACGCAGGTCTAAATTTATCGTTTAAAATGATTAAGTCAAACGTAAACTATATTGATAGCCCTAGGCTTAATTTAATATTTTCTATCGTATTGAATCGGTGCTTTATATAAACCGATATATTTGTAGGTGTCTATTAAACATAAAAAAATACACATACACATGTGTGTATGTATACATAGGGTAAATAAGACACCATACGGTGGGTCATTAAGAGCCCGATGAATGCTTAATGCGATTGATTTATATATGGTTTGATTTCAAGTTTAGTGCAGCGCGTGGCGTATGTTCGATTCCATCCGCATCCCCATTACGGGATTATTAGCACGCCCGCCCTCACGTTTTAATCGGGAGCCGCGATGGGCCGTGCCTGCTTATTTCTTGCACCAGTCGCCGTGGGTGGATGGACAGCGGCGGACGGTCTGCTCACTGCACTCACGCGCGAATCGTCCGATCGGTCGCAGCTGCACCGAACTCCCGGAGCACACTCGCGTCGCGCGTAACTTATCGAGTTGGATTGTTTTTTAAAACATTCCCTTTGAGAACATATACCGACGGGGAATAATATTAGGGATGGATAGGCGCCCCGTGCCCAATCCGAAATATTATTTCCAAACGATCGAACAATTGTCTAAGAAGAAAACCGCGAAATATAAGTACGCGCGTAATAAGAGGCGGACCATTTCGCAGCTACAAGAGAGCGACTTTGAGGAGGGCTCGCTGTCGGCAGGCGAGACCGCGGAAAAGGGCGAGCCTATGCGCGATGGCATCTTTAACACGGTGAAGAAGGGCCCGGGCAAGAACGCGGTGAACGCCATCGAGCCGCCGCCAGAGTTCCAGGTACGTGGATAATTACCCGTTTCCTTTCCCTTATTGTATTTCTCCACCTCCTTATTTAAATGTTTTTTCCGTTATTCGTAAACTGTTTATTTCGTCTCTTATTTAATTTTTGTTTTCCTGCATTATCGATGCGATTTTAGCGAATGACTGTTATAATTAACAATGTTTAAAAAACAGTAAAGTACAAGGAGTGTTGTTTAGATTACAATAAATTTACCCTTTAAAATTTCCAATCTTATTTTAGTATCAAATAACGATAATAAAACTTCGCTAAGCGTAAACTATTTTTTTTTTTTTTTTCACTTAAACAATGATTGGTGAAATAATTTAGTAAGATTTATCATAGTAATTATAATTCTTTTCTCATTAGAGTACAATTTACCAATCAGTTTCCCAATTTTTTTTTAATTTTCTTATTATGTATGTCTTTTATTTATTTTAGGTATCTTAATATACATAGTTTTTTGTCCTTTTTAGTTAATGATTTTTTGGCTTGCTTTGTTATTTTGCGTTATTTATTTTTCTTCCTAGAAATTTTTTTTCCACATTGTTATTATATATTTTCTACAGACGATACGTATTATACATTTTTGCGACACATCATTGTGTTTTTTATAAAATATAATATGAAAAGAAAATTACGAAGCGAAACAGCGTTATCTATGATATATTAATTTTAAGAAGCGTGCGTGCTACACAGCGTCATGTAGTATATTTTACCCGTTTTTACACATCGCAATAATTTTCAGTGCCATAGAATAAAAGTAATGGTTTAAATATATATATATATATATATATATTTAAAATTTAAAATTGAGCTCAATTTCCTATATTATCAATAAATACTTCGCGGAATAAACTTTTTTGCTACTAACTAATTTAACTTTTTGACTTCCGCCGTTTCCGATTTTGCACATGCCGTGGGCGCAAAATGTAAGTCAATTAAAATTGAAAATTTATCGTGAATTCCGTAAAAATTGTTCCAACTGTTTAAATACTCATATTAATATCTTAATGTACATTTATAAAATTATTTGAATTTGAACACAATGATCCGTACACTTGTAATTGTTTTCAATTTGAAAGTTAATTAGCTGGCTTATTTTAATATGTTGGGGAAAAAGTTTCTTCGCATTTTATATGAAAATTCAAAACATTTTTTAATAAAGTTTATTCACATTTAACTAAAGTATGTAGGTGCCATTTTGTTCGATAGCTTTCTGCCATCTAGTAGGTAGGGTATAATATGATCCCATTGCTATTGAAATTCTGGGGCTTCTGATCAAAAAACCGTGACAAGTGGTTTTGGCAGTCCTCTCGTGATGTTAACCTGTCACTGCCTAACAACCAAGTGGAAATCTGAAGGAGCAAGGTCAGGACTATACGCCGGATGCATTAACACCTCCCAGCCAAACTCTTAATTTTTTCTGTGTGGCTAAAAATGTGTGAGGTCTAGCATTATCATGATGTTTACGGTGGTAGAGCCACGCAACTGCCTTGGCTGTTGCAGGAATGGGCAGGCTCGTCCGGGTAAGTACCACGACTTCACAGAAGACCGGCGCAAAGTGGAAGTATGACAAATACTTTCGCGTTTCGTCTGGTGAGTGAAGTAGCCGGAGCCCAATTTCCAAAAAGGTTGTCAACGCATCTGCAAACCCTCGGGTGTAGCAGATGTCTATGAGCGGCGGTATTCACTTAACATCAGGTGAACCGTCTGCTCGTTTGGCAACTTTTCACATAAAAAAAAATGTAAAATCACACCGCTACTGTTGATTAATTTCGGCCGGTTTCTCTCAACTTCTTGCTTTAATCTCATCAGTCCTTCGCAGTAGAGTTCAGAATCGATGGTCTTACCTGGCGGTAACAGCTCATGAATAATGCCATTCCAATCCCACCATACACTCTGTATTACCTTGTTGCGAAATAACCCGGGTTTCACCAGAATCTGTGAAGTCTGACCAGCCTTTGATCACGACCTTTTTCGCACGTTCTTGTCGTACGTGATCCACTTTTCATCATCAGTTATCAGGTTTTCAAAATGGTTCGGTTTGTTACGTCGTAATAAATAATCACAAATGAGTACACAAGCTCAAAGTCGCTCAGCGAGCTATGGAGCGGGCTATGCTCGGTATTTCTCTGCGTGATAGATAGAGTTCGTAACGAAGACATCCGCAGTAGAACTAAGGTGACCGACATAGCTCAGAGGATTAGCAAGCTGAAGTGGCGATGGGCCGGCCATATAGCTCGTAGAACCGATAACCGTTGGGGAAGAAAGGTTGTCGAGTGGCAGCTTCGTACTGGCCATCGCAGTGTGGGACGACCCCCCACTAGATGGAGTGACGGCCTGTGCAAATGTGCGGGAAGTCGATGGATGCAGGTGGCTCAGGATCGTACTTCGTGGCAGTCTATGGGGGAGGCCTATGTTCAGCAGTGGACTCAAACAGGCTGAAATTATGAGTACACAGTTCATTAGGTTTCTTTTAGTGAGGTAATGAGGCCCAAATATCGAGCTTCTTAGTGTACCCAGCTTTTTTCAAATGCCTTTTTTCTACTGTCACAGACACTGTCACTAGGTCCATAAACATCACAATTTTTTTGCGGCGTGCGTTGCATTTTTACCTTTTTTGTAAGAAAATTTCAAAATGTATCAAATTTCTTCATTAGAATCACTCATCTTAACAGTAAGAAAAAGAAATGAAAATGACACGTTTTCCTAATTTAAATTTGGAATCTTATCTATCTTTTTTGTTAAATTCAAACTTTTTAATAATACTAAAACCCGTCAGATACAAATGGTATAGCCAAAGAGATTATATTATAAGTTCATACATACTATTATGCGAAAAGAGTTTTTACCCAACCTAATAGTGTATTTCATTGTTAGATTGCACCGCGACATAAAACAATCAGAGATGTGTATTCTATACAAGAAATGCTAGTGAGAGATGAACCCGTGACTTGGAATCCGATTAACGCATTTGGAACTCCAATGCTGTTATTCATGTTGATGGGAGGCGGTGACTACTTACCACTAACCACCATTAAAAAAAACTTTGGCAGTAGGTACCATAATAATATCGAATCTTGGGCCCACGATCTGAGACATTGGCGCCCAAACCAATTTTGTTTTATTTTATTTTATTTTTGTATATAATATATATAAATATATAATTTTATATATAATCCTATTATCGTATACTTTTTACAAAGGCTTTTGTGCGAATGTTAAGTACATGCGTCACCAGAAAATATACATATTTTACTATATTCATAATTTCGTGCGAAACATAAACACGTAGCCAATGACTGAAAGAAGATTGATAAGAGGTCCTCTCTAAATTTTCAGTGAGCTTCAGCAAAGCGAACGTAATCTTTTCTAACGATTGCTCTCGAATCTTTTACTAACTGTTATCTTAAAATTTGGGACGCTGTCTTGCGATTCGATATATCTGCTTTTTGAATCCCAATTTTGCTGTCAAGGATTTTACTTTTTTCGAACTTGAAAAATCAGTTACATCTTTGTGTAAGCCATGACGGAACGGCTTACCACTCGATTTTTTTTATGAACCTTAAGTCTAAAGAGATTCCGTGAAACGTAAACGTCTTCTCCACAACTTTATATTAATAAAAGACGTGACATTTTTGCGGTCCGAAATGGAAAATATGTTATTTTAATTTAAAAACTTTATTCACGCAAAAAAAATTGAAAAAGGCACGACTTAATGCCCGAAGGCATCTCTTTTCAGTCTATCTTTGGTTCGTGCAGAAATCTAGTGGGACGAAAAGGATGTACAAAGGACTGGAAAAGCTAAAAATATGATATTAATGTTCTCGTTAGTGTATAAAGTTATTTCTTGTTGGGCTCATTACCGTGAAGGCTACATTAATACAATCTTGTATAAGGGCTATATAACAGGTACAACGGCTTACGTTTCGTTTTCATGACGATCGGTATTTTAATAAGCCCTCGAGTTACAATTGTAGTGCACATATTCCACTATTGAGGACTTCTCGTATTCAATACGGAGGCTATCGGAACATGAATAGAAGGAATAGAAATTTAATGCGGAGAGCACTCGTTGAGGCTCGTTGGAGTCGTAATATCCATCGACAAGATAAATTCATCCAGATCCTCGCGTATCGTAGTTTCAACAAATTCACGTCGTACTAGTGGAAGGGGGTGGAGTGAGGTAAAAATGGTGCCTCTGAAAGGCCGCCCGCCTCTGCCCATCGGAAAGTTGCAATACGGGAAATAATTGCGCAAACTATGCGAGGGAACGGACTCACCGTTCCGTTCGATACGTATCTGTTTTGTTATGATTCCATTAGTCGCGCGCGATTTTTCAAGAGTTTAAGGGCTTGTTATGGCATGAAAAGAGCCCGTCCGACACGAGGCCCCTCTTAATGGTAATGAAACGTGCGGTATTTTCTTGTTATCGAAGTCGGAAATAGTTCCGGTGAGGAAGTCCATGTATATGATTTCGATGGTACTTCGATCCTTAAGTGTTTGAGAATTGTTTCCATTGCGATGGTACTTCGATCTTTAAGTGTTTGAGAAACGTTTCCATTATATGGTTACTAGTTGTAGACCTGTGAAGAGTATTGTAACGGGGATTTTGCGTTTCTCTCATTACAATTGACGATATTCTCAGTGTGCAGAAATATATTTCAACTAATTTTTACCGATGTATATATAAATTATATCGTTGAAAGGAATCAATCAGATCTATGTATGATAAGTCGTCAGTTCATGTTATTGATTATAATAAAGCAAATAAAAAAAAATATTCGTTTGAATATTAATCTGAGTCTTTAATGCTGCGTTTCTCATTAAACATTAACTTTCATTGTCAAGTAAATCGCTGCCGAAATAATTTTCACAAACCCCTGAACTGTAAAATTCAAAGCGAGCCACAGTTTAAAACAACCCCATTTTAATAATTCCACGCTTTGAAATTTAATAAATTAGTACTGTAAAAACTATTTAGTTAAAATTCGCTCAGATTATA